AAGTCATATTTGGCATGAGAAAACTATTTGTTTTGGTCACACCGAGGTTTGGGGGCTGTTTTGAATTTTCGCCCCTGAAACGGCCTTTTTCGACTTAGTTTTGGGCGTATTCGTCTCTAAATCCCAACCTACGGGTCCGAATATCATTTCGTTAGTTGTCACAAGTCATATTTGGCATGGGGAAACTATTCGTTTCAGCGACACGGAGGTTCTGGGCCTGTTTTGAATTTTTGCCCCCGAAACGCCCATTTTCGACAAAGTTTTGGCGTATTCGTCTCTAAATCCTAACCTGCGGGTCCGAATAACATTCTGTCAGTTGTCACAAGTCGTATTTGGCATGGGGAAGCTGTTCGTGTCGGCCACACGGAGGTGCAGGGGCAATTTTAAAGTTTCGCCCCCGAAACGCCCTTTTTCAACTAAGTTTTGGGCATATTTGGCTCTAAATCCCAACCTACGGGTCCGAATAACATTCCGTCAATTGTCTCACGTACTATTTGACATGGAGAAGCTGTTCGTGTCAGCCACCCGGAGGTTCGGGGGCTGTTTTGAATTTTTGCCCCCGAAAAGCCCTTTTTCAACTAAGTTTTGAGCGTATTCGGCTCTAAATCCCAACCAGTATTTCGTCAGTTGTCACAAGTCATATTTGGCATGGAAAAACTGTTCGTTTTGGCCACACGGAGGTTTGGGGTTGTTTTGAATTTTTGCCCCCGAAACGCCGTTTTTCGACTAAGTTTTGGACGTATTCAGCTCTAAATTCCAACCTATATGTCCAAATAACATTCCTCCAGTTGTCACACATCCTATTTGACATAGGGAAGCTACCCGTGTTGGCCACACGGAGGTTCGAGGGTTGTTTTGAATTTTTGCCCCCGAAACGCCCGTTTTCGACTAAGTTTTTGGCGTATTCGTCTCTAAATCCCAACTTGCGGGTCTGAATTACATTCCGTTAGTTGTCAGAAGTCCTATTTGGCATGGGGAGGTGTTCATGCCGGCCACACGGCGGTTCAAGGGCTGTTTTGAATTTTTGCCCCAGAAAAGCCGTTTTTCGACTAAGTTTTGGCATATTCGTCTCTAAATCCCAACCTACGGGTCTGAATAACATTCCGTCAGTTGTCACAAGTTCTATTTGGCATGGGGGAGGTGTTCATGTCGGACACACGGCGGTTCATGGGCTGTTTTGAATTTTTGCCCTCGAAAGGCCATTTTTTGACTAAGTTTTGGCGTATTCGTCTCTAAATCCCAACCTACAGGTCCGAATTACATTCCATCAGTTGTCACAAGTCCTATTTGGCATGGGGGAGGTGTTCGTGTCGGCCACACGGCGGTTCAAGGGCTGTTTCAAATTTTCGCCCCCGAAATGCCTTTTTTCGACTAAGTTTTGGCGTATTTGTCTCTAAATCCCAGCCTATGGGTCAAAATAACATTCTGTCAGTTGTCACAAGCCCTATTTGGCATGGGGAAGGTGTTCGCGTCGCCCACACGGCGGTTCCGAGGCTGTTTTGATTTTTCGCCCTCGAAAGGTCATTTTTCGACTATGTTTTGGCGTATTCGTCTTTAAATCCCAACCTACGGGTCCGAATAACATTCCGTTAGTTGTCAGAAGTCCTATTTGGCATGGGGGAGGTGTTCGTGTCGGCCACACGGCGGTTCCGGGGCTGTTTTGATTTTTCGCCCCCGAAAGGCCGTTTTTCGACTATGTTTTGGCGTATTCGTCTCTAAATCCCAACCTAAGGATCCGAATAACATTCTACCAGTTGTCACAAGTTCTATATGGCATGGGGAAGGTGTTCATGTCGACCACACGGCAGTTCGAGGGCTGTTTTCAATTTTCGCCCCGAAACGCCCTTTTTCGACTAAGTTTTGGGCGTATTTGGCTCTAAATCCCAACATATGGGTCCGAATAACATTCCGTAAGTTGTAACAAGTCATATTTGGCATGGGGAAGCTGTTCGTGTCGGCCACACGACGGTTCGGGGGCTGTTTTGAATTTTCACCCCCCAAAATTGTAGGAAAAATATTTTTTTTCCACACCATAGTACTTTTTTATCATTGAAAACAGAATCAGTTCTTAGGGATAATGCCAAACAAACTATCGCCATCCTCACCAAAAAGTCTTAAAATATTAGAAATTATTAGTTCAAAAATATATTTTTCACCAAATGGTTTTAAAATATTTAAAATCACTTGGAGTTTTATCTAACCCACTTGAAAATAATCAGAAGATACCAGCACATTTGCATTTATAATATAATCTTTTCATGACAATTATTGAAAATCCACCCAAGTGGAAAAAATGTAGGTCTGATCCATTCAATTAAAACGTTAAAATTGAAATCTCATCTCAATATATGGTTCTTCCCTGCCAAAAAACACTAACAAACTTTGGAATCTTGTAAAGAAATGAAAGGTGTAGCCAAAGCCATTGATTGTATAGTTTGACATTTTGCAATTCTGAAAGCTATTAAAACCAATACATACCCTAAGAATATTTCTGTCTGTGTATGAGTTGTTCTCATATTAATTTACTTTTTTTTTTCCCCAGACAGGAGTGGATGAAAATGATCAAAACTTTGCTTTACAATCACTTTTTAGCAGCCATACATGCAAATAAATACACAGTCAATGTGTATGAGTTGTTCTCATATTAATCTACTTTTTTTTTTCTTCAGACATAAGGGGAAGAAAATTATCAGAACTTTGCTTACAATCACATTTTAGCAGCCATACAGTAGTTTTTGGATTCTTAATTTTATTCTCTCTTGTTTCATGATATTCTTTCTTGGGTCTAGAGGAATAAGAAATAAATTTATTAAATATTAAAACCCAAACCACTATGTGACTTCAGAATACAACAGAAGTAGAAGAAGAAGATGAGTAATTTTTTATTTGGGCATTGCATCAAACAGTTGGAGGGCAAAAGATGCAACAGGAAGAACAAATTCATGGGAAAGAACAAATGTATGAAAAGTACAAATCAACAACTACGAATCCAATTCAACATGAGGACAAACCAAACTCAGACACAGAGAGGCAAGAGAGTTCTCAATCAAGCAACCTTAGGATAATGAAATTACGAATTGGATTACAAAACTAATGGCATATGGAAGTTGAAGAAGGGCATACCTCGTCTGTTTCTTGAACCAGATTGACAGCAATTTGCATGTTGAATGTTGTTTCGAGAACAGACCAATCGGTTGAATGTTGTTTGTGGAATGAACTATGTTTCTAAGTTGAGGGTAAAATACTTCAAATCTCCATGAATATATTCATTATTTACCAAGAGAGATCAAGCCTCTACATCAATATATATATATATATATATACAAAACAAAAAAACCCTAAATCTAGAACAAAAATCACAACCAATTTACTCGTTTCCTAGAAATGAAACTCCTACAACATCAAAAAAGAAAACAAAAGAAAACAAAAAATACCCTAGAGCTATAGTGAAATGGGGAAATAGAGGAAGAGACAGAGAGAGAGAGAGAGAGAGAGAGAGAGAGAGAGAGAGAGAGAGAGAGAGAGAGAAATACCTAAATCAAAATCAATGGGCATGAGACGGTGAGCAATGGTGAGTGACGGTGGCAATGAGACAGTGCACCGACGGAGAGCGATAGGCAATTCGACGGGAGTAAGAGCAAACAATGTGTTGATTGGTTTTTCCTTTGGTGTATGTATCGATACATACAGAGAAATAAAATAAAATAAAAATTAAACATAAACCAAAATCAGGCGGCAAAATTGTGTTCCCACCAAAAAAATTTAGTTTTGTTGCTGAAATCATTTTGATCACTGAAAATAACCTTTGCCGACTAAGTGGTTTTTTGGTCGCCCATTGAGTAACTTTTTAACGACTAAATTGTATTTTTGTCGCCTATTGGGCGCTTTTTAGCGAATAACTATTTTTTAGTCGCCTATTGGGTTGCTTTTTAGCTACTAATTGTATTTTTAGTCGCCAATAAGTAATATACGGCTACTAAAAAATTTTAGTAGCTAAAATATGAACCATTGCCAACCAATACAAATTTTAGTCGCCAAAGGGCTGACTTTTGGTGACTAAATTCATTTTAGTCGCCAAAAGTGCGAATTGTTGTAGTGATATAACTACCTATGTCCAATCGTTTTGAATTTTTTGTATAAATATTTTACTCAATGAGTTTTAAAAAATAAACGGTTCGAATTATCGAAACAGAACATATAGTTGAGATCCAAATACGAGAGAAGCTCAACCCTTATAACTAGAGCATAATTAATACAACAATGTGTCATAATCAAATTATAAATAATAACACAAAATGAGTTATAATAAAAGATTACAAATGTCATAACTGGACATATGATACACATTCAAAAACAAAATGTGTATTATAAAATTTTCGTGTAAACACAAAAATAAATACGAATATATTATACATATTTTAATATTAAATAATTAATATTATTTCTTTATTCATACAACTGATATAATATTATTGAAAAATTAGATAAATTTTATTTAAATTAAAATTTTAAAAAATCTTAATATAATTATGTCAAATTTGATGGGATTTAATATAATTTTTAAATCTTAAAAAAAAAGAACTTAATTTTTTTTTATAAATAATTTAATGTAAAATATTACATCTGCCCAACATCTTAAAAAAAAAAAAAAAATTTCGTCACATCATATCACTGATTTTATCGGTGACTTTGGGTTTGGATTAAAACAACACTTTGAGAAATGGTACTCAAAAACTACATGTACAGTAGTAGGACACGAGCAGCAAAAGAGGTGCAATTAATGGGACATACCTGCTGCTCCTGTCTGTCTATGAAACCCATTAATGCTCTCCAACTGTCTCAAAATGATAACACTCCTCTCCTCTCCTCTCCTATAAAAAGTTTATACCATAGCTCCATTGCCCAAACCCACAACAAGTCTTATGTTTTCTCTTCACTGAGGTCTACTCCTCTTAGCTTTTTATTTTTTATTTATATTATTATTATTATCATCAACAACTATGGCAGCTGAAGTTGCCAAGGAAGAGGAGAGACTGACGAAGTTGAAAATCGTAAGCAAAACCCATGTGAAGCCCAACAAAACATTAGGAAGAAGAGAATGTCAATTGGTTACATTTGACCTTCCTTACATAGGTTTCTACTACAATCAAAAGTTGTTAATGTACAAAGGGTGTGGTTCTGATTTTGAGGACATGGTGGAGAGATTGAAGGATGGGCTTGGGGTTGTTTTGGAGGATTTTTATCAATTGGCTGGGAAGTTAGTAAAAGACGAGGATGGTGTATTCAGGGTGGAGTATGACGACGACATGGACGGTGTGGAGGTGGTGGTGGCAGCTGCGGAGGAGATCCACGTGGCAGATTTAATGGTGGATGACAGCACCAGCGTGGGGAGCAGCAAGTTGAAAGAGCTGCTGCCGTACAATGGAATCTTGAATTTGGAGGGGCTTCACCGACCGCTGTTGGCCGTGCAGGTGACGTTATATATCTATATATATGTGCTTCAATTTATTACGTAGTCCATGCTTTCCACAACTTTTTCCAACTATCTATTATTCGATTTGTTTTGTTCTATAAAGACGTATATTTCATAACATGAATGTCTTAGCACTGAGAAATTTATAATGTGACATTACTTTTTATTAATCACCAATATGTATATATTTACTATTATTCTTTAAACAGTAGACTTGTCAAAGTCAATCATAATTGTAAAAGGTATCAAATGGCATGTATCCTATCCGTATATAAAAATTTCTTCTTAACACTACAAACAGTTAAGGTTTTAGAGATCAAAATTTAGGGATAAAATTATTTTTCAGGGAGCAAATGTTTTTGTTGTGAAAAGTGTCGCTATTATATTTTTAGTAACAAAAATTAAACATTAGTGATGAATTATTTTTTTTTAGAACCAAATTTTCTGTTTCAAAAAATAAACCATTTTGAGAGCAAATTATTTTGTCTCTAAAAGTCTATTTATTAGTGGTATTTTCAAAATTTTGTCACTAAAAGTCTTGTTTTTAACTTTTCGAAACGACTTTTAACGACTATCTTTATAATGATAGAAATTGGTCTCTAAATATCTTTTACAACAAAATTTTCACTTTTAAAGATAAAAATATTTAATCTCTAAAATTTTTATATGTAGTAATGGACTCTATCGCAGCTATCATTCCAATCTACATAGTCTCCGTTTGGGAAGTGGGTTACCTTTTTGGCTTTTTTGGCTATTTTAGCCTGGGCTAAAAAGTTTGGTTTGGGAAGGGTTTTTTGATTTTTTTGGTTTTTTTGGTAAGAAAAGAATGTAATGATTATGGGTTGGATGTGATATTTTATTTTTTGTGACTAAAATAGCTTATTTTGTCTTTTGTGACTAAAATAACCAAAAAAACCCCGTTTAGCACTTGCCAAACGGAGCCATAATAGTTTCACCACATCAAGGATTTGCTCATAAAATGTGCATCAAAACCACGTTCCGTATAATAGTTTGAGTTTTGAGCGTTGAGTTTTTGGAATTAGTTTTAAAAAGATAAAAAATTATTTAGTTTTGAATTTTGAAAAAAAAAATGAGTTGTATTTTAAGTTTTGAATTGTATTTTAAAAATTTTTGGGTTTATTTTTTTAAAATATTTAAAAATTTTCTTAATTTTATTTGTTAAGTTAAATTTTTTTATTATAAATATTTTTTTAATGTGTGTTGTATTTATTATGTTTGTGCATTGTATTTTTTTATAAATATTTTAAATATTTTATTTTTTAATTTAAATATATAATTATTATTTTAAATATTTTATTTTAATTTTTTAAATATTTTAAATATTTTTTAAAAAAATTTTGAATATTTTTTTACATATTTAAGTTTTTTTTTTAATTTTAAAAAAATTTGGATCACCCATATATATCTAAATCATCACAAATTACAAAATATTTTTTCAAAAAAATTAGAATATAAAAATATTTTTCCTAAAAAATAAAAATATAAAATAAAAAATAATTTTAAATGACAAAATAAAAAAATTGAAATATTTTTTTGTTTTGAAATTAAAATTTTGAAAAGAATTTTGAATTTTGAACAGAATTTAATTGAGTGTTTGTTTATGAATTTTCAAAGAAATTCTAATTTTTTTTTAATTGAAATCATGATTCCACATTTAAACCCAATGCTACCTTGAGTTTTGAATGGATGTTCAAATTTTTTCATTTTTATTTTTATTTTTATTTTTTTTTAACACCGTTGAAAATCAAAATCATCATTCAAACACAGCTACATTACAATTTGGAGACATGAAATGAGTTTTTACAATTTTTGCAATAATAATAATAATAATAATAAATAAATAAATAAATAAATTGGACTTGAATTTTGTTTTCCTACCATCATATTTTTGCCATGCAATTAAGGTCAAGTTTGGCTATTGTAAATACGTACATACTTTTTATCTTTTTTTCATTACATCATCTCTTTATTTTTCTGCACATCTTTTCGTAAAAAGATAAAAAATATAATTATTTAGATCATCCCAAACAACCCCTAAACACTTGTGTAAAATACACTTATTTAGATCATCCCAAACAACCTCAAAACACTAGTGTACTCCTATAGGCTGCCAACTCCTTTAACTCTATCCACCTAACCTATTGTTTCCGTTGACTTAAAATTATTAATAGATCTTACTTTTAAAATTTATTATTTATTAAATTCTATTAATAAATTTATTAAGTAAAAAAGTTATTATTATTTTTTTATTTTTATTATCAATTAGAACTTATAAATAAATAAGTCTAATTAGGTCAAGTTTGGCAACTCAAAAATAATCTATTTTTTTATTTTTTTTTCATCACAATCACATTACTTCTCTACTTTTTTATATATCTTTTTATCAAAAGATAAAAAATATATTTATTTAATTCATCCCAAACCATTCCTGAGTGTGAAATATTTTATGATGAACGGTAATGGTATTAGTCCATTTATATTTTCAAGATTGGATAAGTCGTGACTTTGTTCACATGAGAGAAGGTATAGAGTTAACAAAATTGTGATTTAGGCCTCGTTTGGCTTGCTTTTATTCATGAATAAGATGTCTGTTTAATAGTGCCTACATTATTGCACTTTAATCCCTACACTTTCTATGAAAAGTAGGTTGAAATTTAAAATAATTAATTATCGTCACGTAAGCTTTAGAAGCAAGACAATGTGCTCTTTTGGAAAATTGGTAAAAAGTCACCTTCCAATTTTTTATTAATTTTAAGTCACATCACCTCCCACAACTTACCCACAAAAACACAAAAAAAATTAAAAAAAACTAAAAAGTCAATTTTTTATCAATTTTTCAAAACACCTCGTCGTGTTAGAGCATGTATATGAAAACATTTGTCAAAGACAAATCTTTAATATGTTTTTTTGAAAAATTATCTGCAACGATCTATCATTTCTTTTGTGAAATTATATTATTGTCAAATCTTGTAGGAAAAGTTTAACGATTGTTAAAATTTAGAAAAGTTCTTTCTCTCAATTTCAGTTATGATGGGACTTATAAATAATATTTCATTTGATACTTTGTAATAAAATAAAATAATAGATCACATTAACATTGTAAAAACATGTTTGTCAAATTATATATTTTTCTTTCAATCATGTATGAATGAATAGGTTGGGAGCATCCATTTGTATCGTAACCATTTACATATGCATAAATAATATATAAAATTAATAGAATGCTGTCGTGGATTATTTATATCTACAGAGATTGGATTATCTTCGGTTGGTTTGACTAATTGTATTGTCCATTTTGAATCTTTTATTTCAATAGTTTAAATAGTTTATTTTATAAATTTTATTAAACATATATTTGTTTATTGATCAATTTTTTTTTTTTTTTAGAAAAATATGATCCAATTAATTTATTTTTCAGATAGTTGATTTGCTCAACACGACTTACAAAATTAATAATTTAGATTTAGATTGATGAGATGGTCCTCACATGAAAACACGATGAACTGAAAGAATTAATAAATACAGTGATATTTTTTTCTCTGCACCATGTGAGGCTACAGTGCTCCGGTGGTGGTGTTTCTTGACTTTTTTTTTTTTTTTAAAATTGAGAGGCTAAAGGGTTGGTTGTATAGATGCGAGTAGCAGTAGTAAGGGTATTTTTATACTTTTCGAACCTTTCTCGATGCATGTCATCTTCCTGTACCTTTAATTTCATGCTGTTAAATGAATTTTTTTTTTTTTGCTGATAAAAAAAAAAAAAAAAAAAAAAAAAACTTAGAGTATCGTATATAAGACATGGGAAATTCATAATTGAAAATGGGATTTCACCATGAAAAAAACTCAAAAAAGGTCCCCACCACGACACCATAGATCGCCTGTAGCCTCTCTTGGCTAGTTGGACCTCCAGGTTTAGTGTACTATTTTGTTCTGTTTTACTATATCATGAACGAGTTTGTAGTGTGACATGTTATTTGATGGTCTAAGAGTGATATTTCACACAATTATTACTTGATATTTATTAAATTATTTTTTTAAAAAATAAATAAATAAAATTAAAATATTTTAACTAATAAACATAAAATTGAAAGACTATATGAATTTGTCTTAAAATCATCAAATAAGGCCTAGTTTAGGAACAGATTTTTTTAATAATTTTTTAATTTTTTATAAATATTATATTTCTTAAGTGTATTTAAATTATGTGTGTCTCAAAAATAAAAATTACTTTAAAATATTTAAAAAATTCAATAAAAAAATAAAAAATTTAATTTTTTAATATAAATTATTAATTTTTTAATTTTTTTAATAATTTTTTAATTTTTTAACCAGACACTTGCCAAAAGAGGTATAATTTTGCATGGGGTAGAGCATTTGATGCACCCATATTTAGATGGTGAGTACCGTCCAATTAAATGCCCTTGGGGGCCCACTAATTGTGCGGTTGAAAATTGTTAATTTATGTAGCTAACCAAGTTGCGAGACGGCCTTGCAATGGGGTGTGCATTCAACCACGCGATACTAGACGGGTCATCCACGTGGCACTTCATGAGGTCATGGGCCGAGATCTGCACTGGGTGCCAAACCATCTCGGTCCCACCTTTTCTGGACCGCTCCAAGGCCCGAAACACGCGCGTGGTGCTCAACCTCTCACCCCCTTCCCACGACCCCACCATTGCCAATACACCGGACCCACCACTCAGAGAGAAGATCTTCAAGTTCTCGGAGTCAGCAATTGTCCAGATCAAGTCAGAAGTCAACAACAACTTATCCGACGGCTCAAAACCCTTCTCAACATTCCAGTCCCTGTCATCGCACTTGTGGAAAGCCATCACACGTGCCCGCCAGCTGAAGCCGGAGGACATCGCTGTCTTCACAGTCTTCGCTGATTGCCGGAAAAGGGTGGACCCCCCGATGCCGGAAAATTACTTTGGAAACCTCATTCAGGCCATATTCACCGGCATGGCAGCAGGGTTGTTGGTGGCGAATCCGCCGGAGTTCGGTGCCGGGTTGATACAGAAAGCCATAGAGATGCATGACTCGAAAGCCATCGATGCGCGGAACAGTGAGTGGGAGAGCAACCCTAGGATATTTCAGTACAAGGATGCCGGAGGAAACTGTGTGGCGGTGGGGAGCTCGCCGAGGTTTAAGGTTTACGAGATGGATTTCGGGTGGGGGAAGCCGGAGAGTGTGAGGAGTGGATTTAACAACAGGTTTGATGGGATGGTGTATCTGTATCAAGGCAAGAGTGGTGGGAAGAGCATTGATGTGGAGATCAGCTTGGAAGCTAATGCTATGGAGTACTTGGAGAAGGATAAGGAGTTTCTCATGATCCAAGCTTAGAACAACTGCTTGGCTATCTATATCTATATCTATATCTATATCTATATATTTGTATGTATTGCTATTTATTATCATATCCGTCGAGAGTTTGCCTTTGTTTTCTTTGTTGTGTTATCTATTATAACTAGAATATATGTTGAAATAAAAATAAAAAAACTGTAAGGTAAAGTTTGGGTCCTTTTAATAGAGCTAGAGTTTTTTTTTTTTTTTTAAAGTTTTTTAGAGTGATGTATTGTATGGTTGAGATTTAATGACAAGTCACATTAATTTTTTAATATTAAATCTCAACTACACAGTACATCACTTTAAAAAACTTTAGGAAAAAAAAACTCTAGAGAATCTTTGGTTCTTTTAATATCTCTTTTGTATTGTTTATTATGATCCTTTTTATTCAACTAAATAAATAATGAATCACGTGAATCTATTATATTATATTAAAAAATTAAGCATTTCTAAGGTCAAGTTTGGCTATCCTAAATAAGTACATACTATTTTGTCACTAAAAATATTACATGTGGTGGCCTAAAAAATATTATTGGGAGTAATCCAAACAGGTCTTAACAATGAATCCAGTTTAAACCAAGAAACTCATCAAACAAATATCACATCCCCATCCATAAAATGGAGGCACCCCATTGAATAAAAGGGGCCTCATCTCTCTGCAACACAACACACAGACTCTTCAGTTCTTTAGCTCCTCTCTTCATTAGATTTCATCAGCAAATCACGTGGGGGTATTCTCATAGTTCTAAATCGCGGTATCGGGTAACGTAACGGTATCGATCGCGGAGTATCGGTATCGGGAGTATCGACCGGTACGTATCGGGTATCGGGTGTCGCGGCTGTGAAATTTCAAAAATCATTAGCAATCCCTCTAAAACTCAATTTTATATATTTTTTCACTCTTTTAGCCTTAATTTATCATATTTTAATCAAAATTTTGATATGTAAATGCACTTTTGACTCATTTTCAACTAAATGATATGTATTTATATTAACCTTAATTAACTAATTTATTTTATTTATTTATTTTTTTGATCGATTTTAATGCAGTTTCAATCAATAATCAGGGTGACTCTAGTCTCATCCCCCATCAAGCAAATAAAAGCTATTAAATTTTTTTATTTGTATTATTAATATTTTATTGTATATAGTTTGGTTATTTAAAAAAATCAAGAAAAAAACCATCCCATACCATAATATAAATAAAAAAATAACCAAACACAACTTACCAAGCAAACAAATTATAAACCATTATAAACAACTAACCAGAAAAAAAAAATAAATAAATAAATTATAAACAAACCAAACGCAACTTACCAAGCAAAATCATCCCATACCATAATATAAATAAAAAAAAATAACTATAAAAAAAAGAAAAGAATAACATAATATAATATAAACAAACCATTTGAAGAAGAAAAAAAATAACATAATATAACATAAACAAACCAAACAAAGCAAACCGGACAGCGGCAAACCCATTTGAAGAAGCAAAACCATAAAATAATATAATATAACATAATATAATATAAACAAACCTATCAAAAGCAAAACCATTTGAAGTGTTCAGCCAAAGCAAAAAGCAGAGCACGAACTTACCCAAAAAAAAAAAAGCAGAGCACGAAACCAATGTAAACAGAGCATGAGAGAAAAACCTTCAATGAAGGAACTTGAAATCGGTGATGGTTTGGGTTCAATTCGATGCTTCTCCTTGCAACACTTTACAAGATCGATGCCCCTGGAAGATGGATTTGGGTTTGATTGGGGAGTTGAGTTTGGTCCGATTGAGGGAAAACTTTGGGGAGTTGAGTTGAGTTTGGTCCGAAATATACTAGTGTATACTTATACTTAAAGGTATATATATATATATGCATATATGCATTGATGCTCACAAATTGTGTCTAACATTTGTTGAATATAGAGATTTGACCAAGTTTACAAATATACTAGTGTATACTTATACTTAAAGGTATATATATATATATGCATATATGCATTGATGCTCACAAATTGTGTCTAACATTTGTTGAATATAGAGATTTGACCAAGTTTACAAATATACTAGTGTATACTTATACTTAAAGGTATATATATATATATGCATATATGCATTGATGCTCACAAATTGTGTCTAACATTTGTTGAATATAGAGATTTGACCAAGTTTACAAATATACTAGTGTATACTTATACTTAAAGGTATATATATATATATGCATATATGCATTGATGCTCACAAATTGTGTCTAACATTTGTTGAATATAGAGATTTGACCAAGTTTACAAATATACTAGTGTATACTTATACTTAAAGGTATATATATATATATGCATATATGCATTGATGCTCACAAATTGTGTCTAACATTTGTTGAATATAGAGATTTGACCAAGTTTACAAATATACTAGTGTATACTTATACTTAAAGGTATATATATATATATGCATATATGCATTGATGCTCACAAATTGTGTCTAACATTTGTTGAATATAGAGATTTGACCAAGTTTACAAATATACTAGTGTATACTTATACTTAAAGGTACGATGAAAATATTTTGAAATGAAAATATAATTAAATATAAAAGTATTGGGTTAAAATGGAATTTATTCAATTTGTTGCCAAAAAAAAAAAAAACTTTTGAGGTGAAAATATAAATAGATGATCCGTATGGTTTTGGATTTTTAAATGAATCTTATAATTAGATTTTTTTAAAAGAGTTTGTCAAACTTAAGATTTTGTTTGATTGTATATATTAAAAATAATTTTTATAAATTTAAAATCCAAAACTTACTTGGTTTTGGAGTTTCTAAAAACAGTTTCTAAATTTTTAATTTATATTTTATTATTTTTAGTGAACTTTTTAAATATTTTAATTAATATTTTTCACTTTTTCAGTTACACTTGATCTAAATATTTTGCAAAATTATAAAATTTAGAGAGATATAACTTAATAAAAAAAATTAAACCCTCATTGTCTGTACAGTAAACTGAACGATAAACATATAAAAACTGTCCAATTGAATTTAACAATAAGTCTTGCTATAAATTTTTATTTTTAACAATAAGCAAGTTTCAATAATATCATTGTGATTGATATAGTATTTGAACTCAAATTCTCAAAGCAAAAGTAGTTGCGTTTTTGTTTCTCCAACATAAATTTAAATGGAAAAAAATGATGGTGTCCCCACTACAACAAAAAAGGCTTTTGGTGACAGGCTGATTTTGTCTCCAAACATCAAATTTTCGTCACTAAAGTGATCTGCGATGAAAAGAATTTGTCACCACGTTCATGGCCTACACGTCGTCACTAAAAGTACCTGGTGACGAAAAACAGTTTCATCGCCTATTTTTCATTTTTGGCGACGAAATATTTCGTCTCCAAATGTTGAATTTTTCGTCCTCTAAAACATCAATTTCGTCACCAAAACTAAATAATATTTTATTTAAATTGTTTTTGGCGACAAAATATTCCGTCACCAAATATATTTTAGTGACAAAAGTTTTCATCACCAATGATATGGATTAATATGACAAAAAAATTCATCACTTAAATGAGAAAAAAAGAAAATTATTCAATGACAAAAAATATTTTGTCACCAAATATTTCAATTTAGCGACGAAATACTCAGTAAATGTGATGAAATTATTTGTTTCGTACTATATCATTAATGACAAAATTATTCGTCATGTTTTTTGAAAACTAATAGCGACATTTTTTATTTCGTCACTAATAAAAATTAAAAAATTTGAAAATGGGAATACTATTTTCTTTCGAAATTTTTTCTTTTCAGTAATAATTCCCTGTGCATTTCAATAACTTGTTCAATAAAATATCTATTACAAATCAACACAAAAATCTATTCATTTTCATAAATATCACAATTGAATTTCAGCACTATCCACAAAAATATAGTATGAACTACATGCGGATTATAAACATGTCTCCTAATATTCACAAAAAACGTCTACTAATATCCACAAAAAATATAATATCAACCGCATGCGGATTACCAAACACATCTCCTAATATCCAACAAAAAACATGTCTACTAATATCAACAAAAATAAAATATCAAGGGCGGATTACCAAACATGCCTTGTAATACCAACAAAAATATAAAATTTGCAACGCAACCAAAATACATGTAAGGTAATATGAACAAAAACACAAAATCAGCTACCATTTGCCCTCCAAATTACCAAACATGTCCATATCAAATCTCGAATCTGCAAAAAAATGAAACACAAAAAAAAAAAAATGCAAGTTAGACAATTATTATCTTATCCATAAAATATACAATTTAACATGCATTTTTTGAATTAGTTTTTAAATTGGGAGTCTGGTGCAAGTTCCGTTAGTTTCCACAGCTTACATTGGTTCCTCCTGACATGTTTGAGGTGTTCCCTGGGCCGTCCTGTGACTGTTACACGATTTTGGCCCCCGAAGATCTATTTTCAAGTGTGAAAATGTGCAATTTTTGACTTAGTTTTCAAATCGGGAGTCCCGTGCTAGTTTCGTAAGTTTCCACAACTCACATTGGTCCCTCCCGAGGTGTTTGATGTGTTCCCCGGGCCATCTCATGGTTGTTGCATAATGTTTGCCTCCGATGGCCTATTTTCAAGCTGAAGTGTGAAAAAGTGTAATTTTCGACTTAGTTTTCAAATCGGGAGTCCCGTGCTAGTTCCGTAAGTTTTCACAACTCACATTGGTTCCTCCCGACATGTTTGAGGTGTTCCCCGGGCCATCTCGTGGCTGTTGCACGATTTTGGCCTCTGATGGCCTATTTTCAAGCTTAAGTGTGAAAAAGTACATTTTTCGACTTAGTTTTCAAACCTGGAGTCCCGCGCTAGTTCCGTAAGTTTTCACAACTCACATTGGTCCCTTCCAAGGTGTTTGATGTGTTCCCCGGGCCGTCTTGTGGCTGTTGCACGATTTTGGCCTCCGGTGGCCTATTTTGAAGCTTAAGTGTGAAAAAGTACATTTTTGGACTTAGTTTTCTGACCGGAAGTCTCGTGCTAGTTCCGTAAGTTTTCATAACTCATATTGGTCCCTCCTAAGGTGTTTGACATGTTCCCCTGGTCGTCTCGTGGTTGTTGCACGATTTTGGCCTCCGGTGGCCTATTTTGAAGCTTAAGTGTGAAAAAAGTGTATTTTTGGACTTAGTTTTCAAAACGGGAGTCTCATGCTAGTTCTGTAAGTTTCCACAACTTACATTGGTCCCTCCTGACGTGTTTGACATGTTCCTCGGGCTGTCTTGTGGCTGTTACACGATTTTGGCCTCAGGTGGCCTATTTTGAAGCTTAAGTGTGAAAAAGTGCAATTTTGGACTTAGTTTTCAAACCAGGAGTCCCGTGCTAGTTCCGTAAGTTTCCACAACTCACATTGGTCCCTCCCGACGTGTTTGAGGTGTTCCCCGGGCCGTCTCATGGCTGTTGCACGATTTTGGCGTCCGGTGGCCTATTTTTAAGCTTTAGTGTGAAAAAGTGCATTTTTCGACTTAGTTTTAAAACCGGGAGTCCCATGCTAATTCCGTAAGTTTCCACAACTCATATTGGTCCCTCCCGAGGTGTTTGTGGTGCTACCCGGGCCGTCTCGTGGCTATTACATGATTTAGCCCTCCGATGGCCTATTTTCAAGCTTAAGCGTTGGAAAAGTTCATTTTTTTACTTAGTTTCATGCCTACGTGTTGAAATAGTGCAAATTTCAAAGTAGTTTTCAAATTGGGAGTCACGCACTAATAAAATAAGTTTGCACAACTTATGTTGCTCCGTCTCAAGGTGTTTGTGATGTTTCTCAGATCTTTACATGCATATTTCACTTTTTTCCTGTGAACTTTCGCCTCTAAATGTCAAAGTTTTTTTTTTTATTCTACCCTAGTTGATTAAGAAATTTCTATTAAATTAACATAGAAACATAATATACTAACAAAGCCTACTAATCCAATAAAATAAATTAGTAGAACGCACCGCAATGTATATCCTGACCGGGATTGATTTTGATCCACATCGATGTTTTGTCTTCATTTGAATCATATTATTCACATTAGCTAGTGATTTTACAATTGAAACACCAATAAAAACAAGAAAAGATAACATTATTAAGAAGACACTTAATTTTTGACAATCAACATATATAAAACATTTTACCTTGAAGCTAGTGAGAGACTTTTGACTAAACATTTTCCAAAAATATAATCTAGCAACTCTGATAACTAAATTTCTCAATAATAATTCTTAGGCTAGTTGTTCATAATAAATTGAAAGATAAAAACATGAATATTTTATCAATACATTAAGTTCACAAATAATATACATATACAGTTAAAATTAATTGAATTAGCTAAACTTATTTCATTTCTAAAGTGTCGTTTGGTAACACTTACGTTTTTAGTTTTCTGTTTATATTTACAAAAATTTAAAAAACTCAAAAAAAAACTTGTTTGATAAAATTTTTAATTTATAAATCAGTGGTCTTAGTTTATAAATTTGGCAAAAAAATGAAAATACAAAAAATGTGTTTCCATTTTGAGTTTTCAGTTTTTTTTTTTTACCACCCAACACTAGCCACCACCCGCCCCCATTTTCCACTACCGTCTTTCGTCACCACCACCTACCGCCCATCCCCCACCACCACCAGCCACCACCACTAAGCACCCACTTACCACCACCAACCACCACCCGCCGCCGCCACTAGCCACCACTAGCAACCACCCACCACCCACCTGCCACCTACTCGCTACCACCACTACCACCACCACCCACCACCCCATCCACCACCTGCCACCACCAGCTCCTTATTTCATCACTCAATTCTCTCTCTTTCTTCTTCACAGCCTCACCACTTTTCTCCATCACAACCTGTTTGATCACTTTAGCCACTTCTTCTCTTAAAATCTTCCCATTATCATCTCTCATGATCTCCACACCAACACCAATTTCACTCAAGAGCCTAGCATTGATTGGCTGATCAAGGTGCATAGGCACAGATATTATAGGGACTCCAAACTTGATCCCCTCCATTACTGAGCTCCACCCACAGTGGCTCACAAAGCCACCAACGTTTGGATTCTCCAAAATTTTTACTTGTGGGGCCCACCCTTGGATGACCAATCCTCTCCCCCCTACCCTCTCAAGAAACCCTTTTGGGAGTGCCTCCTCAACCCTAGTTTTTTGTCCCACTGGAAACCTAACAACCCATATGAAATTGACATTGCTAAGTTCTAACCCATGAGCCATCTCTTCCATCTCTACGATGTGATATATAATACACGTACAAATGAACATCTTTGAGCAAGAAATCCCCATTTGAATTTGAATGATTCACGGTCCATATCATTATTCGTACTGAAACTTACAAAGTTTTCACCACCACCCACTCGCTACCACCCACCACTCGCCACCGTCACCCACCCACCCACCTACCACCACCTACCACCACCAGCTACCCACCACCCACCGTCACCACTTTTTACCACCCTCTTCCGCCACCACTTGCCACCACTTGTCATTTCTCACTCTTTTTTATATTTTTAATTTTTTTAAACATTTTGTCAATTACCAAACGCGTTTGTAGTTTATGTTTTTCTAAAAATAAACAAAAAATAAACAAAAACCAGTTTATAAAATTTTTATAAATATAAACTGAAAACGTAAACGTTACCAAACACACCCTAAGTGTCAAGTGTTCATACATGTAAGTTTGAGATTAATCTTGAAACTAAGAGTCTTGTGCTTATTCCATGAGTTTCAACAAGTCATTTATATCCTTTAATAAGGTGCTCAAACCAATTCCTGGGCATTTTCATAGCTATTAGAGAAATTTTCCCTTCGAATGCCTATTTTTAAGTCTAAGTGTTCAAAAAATACAAGTTTGAGCTTAATTCTGAAACTAGGACTCTCATGGTTGTTCTGTGAGTTTCTATGAGTTACTTTTCTCCTTATTAAGGTGTTTGAACCAATTCTTATGGCTAATTCACAATTTTGCCCTCCGAATGGTAATTTTCAAGATTAAGTGTTAAAAAAGATGGCTATTTCACAATTATGCCCTTAAAACGTCTATTTTCAAGCTTAAGGTGTTATGTTTTACAATGCGTAAGGCGTTAAACCCGACTGCCTCTGTTTTAGAGTCAAGCTAAAAGCACCAAACAATACTTAAGACCTAAACCAACAACATCAAACTTGCTATATTAGCACCCAAAGACAACAACCAAACCAACTTATTTAATTATAGGTTGTTAACACATGTTATTCAAGTTAAATAAAATACATCTGTTTTATTAGATATTAAATTTACCTCTATTTCAACGAATTAAATTTAAACTACATTGGTAGAATTCACTAATATCATTTCGAGTAATTGAGGAGGAAGGCATTGGAACAGATTTCAATGAATTAAATTTACCTCTATTTTGTTGAGGGTTTATTCTTACAATACTTTGTGGAACAAAAAAATAACACGTTTTCAATGTTTCTATCTGACATTGATACCAACTTAACTTTTTTTCCCCTCTTGCAATGATAACTTGGCTATTGAAATGGAGATTAAGTATGAATAGTGAATAATTAAACATATCGTCAGAGTTTTATGGACCTGATTGGCAAGCATTTCTAATTCATTATTAAAAAGAGAAAAGAATGATTGAATCAATTTTACGGATATATATGAATATACTATGTATATATGAGTATCGAAATCAAAGAAATAGTGAAGAGAAATCGGAATGGAATGGGTACCTCGAAATGCTCGAATTTTCAGAAAGACAATTAGAGCGATTGACTGGTTGTCTAGAGTGTGGCGATGATCAAAGAAAACTCCGACTCACCGTTTGCTCTCATAAAAAACATATAGAAAAACAAATACGCATAAAAAATCAAAAAGAAAAAAGAGATAGTGTTAGATTGTTTGGTAATATAAATAAGAATAGTTTAAATAAGTTGATTATCTAAAATTAGAGTGGGGTGCTTAAAAGACCAGCCAAAGTAATTTTCATTTGTAATAACACACACAATATATATATATATATACTTAAAAATGTTCTCACCTAGTTCCTAGACCATAGATTCTTTCAGGTGGTATAGTTACTCCTGCAAGCTCTCGTAACAACTCAACAACAAAGCAGGGGGGAAAAACTTATGTATGCTCTGGTTCAAGAAGGGGGGAAAAAAGCATCAGATATCGAAAGCAAATCAATTGCAAAGAAAATAGAAAATATGGTGAATAAGTACTCAACACGTAACTCAAGTATTTAAATTTGAAACTATATAGTCTTAGGCTGCACGAATTGACTGACAACAGCTACTTATGAATAGCATTATTTATAATCTTCAACCATACGACTATCTCCTAATACATTTAATAAAATACATATATACAAGCAAGTCTGTGATGAATTATAGACACATATGCTCTAATTGGATTACTCACCCATTAGATTAATAACCCAAACAACCATCAGTCAAATACCTATGTACTTCAGTTAAATTGCTTCTGAGTAAACTCAACCAAAATATAGTCCAATAACAAACACTAGAAACCTGTATGCTATAGACTATTATTGACAAGTAATGACATCGTACCTATCAAATAACCAACAAACATGTAATTCAAGTTAAGTGTGTTCAAATAGTTTAAACAATTATAGAGAGGGAGAGAGAGAGAAAGAGAGAGAGAGAGAGAGAGAGAGAGAGACCAACCTTTCCTAGGTCATCACTACCTTCACCCTGATATGAGAAACAGTTCTTTAGTATATCCAGGCGATACGAAAATTGAACAAAATCCCGCCTTAAGCAGCATAGTTCTTGTTGTAGTATATTATTACAACGTATTTCAAACTTAGCAACTTCTTTTACATGTTTTACTTGCTTCTTTTTAAACTTCAGTTCTTTTCTCTGCATCTTCATTATAGTAGTACCAATCATGATTCCAAGAACACAGCAAATAACATCAGCAAACTAATGAGAATCACTTAATAATATGGAAAAAGAAAATAGAGTAACACTCTAAATAATCAAAACTTATTGAACTTCTAAATGTGAAGTAATCTTGCAACATCAATCACCAAATGGAATATGCAGTGTCAACAGATACTTCTAAGAAGATGCCTCCTCAGATTATAAAGATCATTCCAAAACCAGTGGTTGTCTTGCACAAAGTGCCATTACAAGTGTAAATAACTTAAGTCACATGATTTAGCTACTTAAAATTCTCACTTAATTAACAGAGACATATTAATAATTGTAAAACTCAAGAAAGTTCAATCAGTAGGAAAAATTACTCATTGTCCAGTCAGTTGTGTTATGAACTATAAAATAAAAAATGAAAAAACTTTTTTCATCCATTCCCAATTAACACTTTATCAACTAAAATTCCAAATCACCACATTATTCCTACTTTTGAACGGTACATTCCAAGTGTTGAGGGTTAATGCTGTGAACAACAAAGCAATAACTGGTCATTCATTGCTTATTAGTTATTGAGTAGAATTGCTCACATCTGTGGCGTAGGTGGAAAAGAAAGATTGGGAAACAAGTCAACATCAAAATCTTGTGTCTCTAATAACCAATTCCGTCTTACAAAAAGGGCATGTGAATGAGATAGAAATAAAATTAATTTAGAGGACTATGTCCACAAATATAATAAATTATGTACAATCCATTCCAATATAGAAGTACAAATAAGAACAAATATAGTAGCCTTTGCATGCAAATCTGGAAAAATAAAGATAGGCACATATTAAGTGCCAAAATAGTAAAGATACCAACTGCTAATGACAAGGAAAAGACATAAACACCAGCCAAAAAAAAAAAAAAAAAAGATCCTTGCATAATTTATTAAAAAGAGAGGGATGAACATTTGAAAAAATTAAAAAGAAACAGAGAAGATCATGATAAGTTCATTAAGTAGAGTTCAAAAATATCATCACCCACATCATCGAGATCACCTCTACTACTATCACTATCAACTAAACAATTCATGGTTATATAAATGACATTAATAAAATCTAATTGGATAAGAATCCATCAATAGCAGTATCAACTCCACCCTAAAATCAAAGCCCTTTTTTCAATTGAAATTCCCAAATCAGATTATTATTATTATTATTATTATTATTATTATTATTATTATTATTATTATTATTATTATTATTATCATTATTATTATTATTATTATTATTTTTTTTGGTTCAATTGAAATCCTTCAATCAAAACCCTAGCTTCAATAGCAAGTGATAGGTGAGAGAGCTCTCAATATCATGTAAAAATCCCCAAATCAAAACCCTAATTTTTAACCCAATAATAGATTTGAAATAAATCAAGTAAAAAGCCTCAAATCAAAGCATAGAAAATCCTAATTTTTGAATTAAAAACCCTAATATTTTAAGTTTGGAGGATGAACATGTTGAATCTGTTGAATGAATACCAGCTTCTTGAATCCGAACTCAACCACTCCTCAGTGACAGCAGCGGACGAGCAAGGGCGGGGCAGCGGCGGACGAATAGGGGACGGGGCAACGAGGACAGTGACTCCTCAGCTCTTCGTCTTCTCTCTCTCTCTCTCTATCTTTTCTGAAATACATAACCAAGAGAATAGAGGCTTTTGTTTTATTATTATTATTTTGAATTACCTCACCAAAACGACTTCGTTTTGGTAAGGTATTCATCTTCTTCAAGTGATCTCAACCCTTCGTTTTACATCCTTATTTTTTTTTTTTTTTTTTTTTTTAATTTTTTTTTTTTTTTTTTGTGCGGAAAAAAAAAAAGCGAAAAAAAAAAAAAAAAAAAAAACGACAAGTAACATACCGTCATGTATAATATTACTTTTTGCCATGGTCATGGATTTTTCGTCTTTAATAGTGGTATTTAGTCGGTACCCTTTTTTGCGACAGTCAAATGTCGTTGCAAAAAAGATAATTTCGCGACAGTTTTTTTTGCCGTCGCAAAAAGTAACTTTTTGCGATGATTTTGAAACCGTCTAAAAAAATTCCGTGTCAAAAGCCTTCTTTTCTAGTAGTGGTGAGAGAATACTTGTGAGGATGAGGTGGTGGTGATCTGAGGGCAGTGGTGGTGGTGGAGGGGGGTGGTGGTAGCGAGCGGCGTTAGTGGTATGCGCTGAGGTGAGGTCATGTAGGGTGAGGTTTGGTGGTCAAATCTGTGTGTGAGAAGACGAACTGATATATCTAAGGCGCCAATATATTCATTTCCCTCTAAAAACATTTCTCAACTAAACCATTTATTTTGTGACAAAAT